GTAGGGATGTTAGTCAAAGATGCACTATGTTTAGTACCATCCACAACTCCTCAGATACTGCAACAATCTTTGCCTGAATGCAGCATGACCTGGACAACATTTGGGTTGAACCAACAAAATGCAAGTAACACTTTTGCCTCACAAGTGCTAAGCAATTACCCTCTCCAAGAACTGAGTATCTAAACCTCTTGACTTGACAGTTAACTGCATGGAGACTACTGAACAATTCTCAAGGGCGATCAGGAATGGGCAACAAATGGGCCTGGCCAGTGACAGTCACATTCCACACACAATTAAAAATGATTGCTGTCATCCTGAGTGAGCTTAATAGTACCCTTTCTCTTTGTGTTATTCATCACACGAGGCAGCCCTTGGGCATTTTCACTGAACTGTAGCAGAGCCGATCAAGGAAGGGTTTTGAAAGCCAACTGAGGCTCCACCAATGCTTCAAAGCAAATAGTAGCAGCCTCTGGAAATGTCCTGTTGCAATACTGTTGCTCTCAAGTTAAAAGATCAGGAATTCGAAGAACTGAGTCCAAGGTGTAGGCAGATCATTCAGTGAGTAAGAAGGAATACAGTATTCTTGGAGTTGCTATCTTTTGTATAAATGTTAACAGTAGCTCACAACTGCCTGCTCAATTAATTTAACATTATCAGTCAGGCTTGCAATGTGGCATATTTATGTTTATTAAGATCTACATATGTTTACACGCAAGACTCAGTCTTCTCCAGACAAGAAAATTTGACCAGGAATTGAGACTTTTTAACTAAATTAGAGGCTGGGGGCACTGTTCCCTGGAGCATTCCCAATTCTACATGTTGACCAGGTAGAATTGACTTGCCTTTTGTGTTTAACTTAAACAAAAGCTTTGGGGTAACTGCTCCTGGGTGCATTTTCTATGGCTACATCTTGACCAAATCAGACATGGCTTCCAACTAATCATGCATCATAAACTGTTGTTCCTTTTGAAATTTGCTATTATTGCATTTGTCCTGATGAGTGCAAGATGAGACAATTCAGCAATATGCCTCTTTTTTTCAGCATTATTGGTGTCAGCATATTCACGGGTACTCTGAATTTTAAACTTTATGTAATACAAAATATTCTACATGCCAAACTGATACAAGCAGGTGACTGATAATGTTACTTGTGCTGTGACTGCTATTTTTCAAAGGTAGCTGTTACAACATACGTCATGGAAGGTCACAGTTGTTAGGTTACCCTCTCAATCTTTAATGCTTTTGTTTCCAGCTACAGAACCTAGAGTTACAATGGTATTAACAGCTCAGCGTGCACACAAATGCAGCAGTTATTACATTTTGACAGCTGAGTAAATAGCACTGAAAGATAGGCCAACAAGTTAACTTTGAAACCAGGAAAATCAATTGGCTGTGAAATGCTGTTGTCTTCATTCAAATGCACAGCTACTGGAATCTTACACAATAATTTTGGGTTTTTTGCTAGTAGAGATGTGGCTTGGACATTTGATTGTGGTGGGAAATGAGCATACAGACAGCCGGACGTACATCACACATGGCTGTTCAGGTGGTCCTAAGCATGTGTCCTAATCCCCAATTTATGCTTAGACCTCATTAAATTGAGTTAGGCATACTTCCAGCATCTGTGATATTTATTGGCTACATGCCTATTTGAATTTGAGGTGGCCAGCAGAAAGAAACATGTTTGACATGATGGCATGAAACTTCATGGGGCCCAGCATCATCTGTGACATTGAGACATTTCTGACACCACTCAAAAGGAGCTTAGCTCCTAGGATTTGACTACATTGCCAAAATAAGTTCAATAACTCCAAGAGTAATTAAGAATACAACTCCCTCATTATCTGCTCATATCTCAACCACCTCCAGCCTTAGAACTTACATTATTCCTATTGCCCAGTTTCCTTCACACTTTATGTAAATCAACAGGGTTAATTGGGAACCTTAGAGGAAAGGGTTCTCTTGCTGCCTCTCTCTCTCTCTCTCCTGCTTCAGTCCTAGAGCCAGATTTAGCAGGACCATTCATGTCTGAAGTAAAACTGTTTTGAAAGCAGTGTGCAATATTAATTCAAGAAAGAGAACAACGTGCATCAAAATTCTTTCACAAAATTGTCGAGGCTTTCCTAAAAACATGTCAAAAAAATACCCAATTCCTCACTGTCATTAGGGGTAAGAAATCAACAGGCACATTGTGAATAACCATCATAATGAGCACAGCCACCATTATAAATGTTCTCTGTTCAAATCAGATTCTTTTTTCACCCGTGAAGGATTTCATAATCTCCAATCTAAGATAGGCAACGTGCCAAGTAAAATACCAAGAAGCAAACTTTTCAAAGACAGTATACTTCCAGTCCTCCTAGATGTACAGTATATTCACTTGTAATTTACTACTGCACATGTGCAGACACACACAGTTCTGCAGCACTGGGATAGGGAAGCAAATGAGTTCCAGTTAGAGTAGACATTACCTTCACTATTTGAATGCCCATAGAATCATCATCAGGGTTGCTTCTATCATTGAAAGCAAAACGCATGGTTTTCTCCCAGTCAATTGAGATACTGTGCAAGTACTGATCTGCTAGAGTCAACCAAACCTGAAAGAGAATAGATAGGACAATAAATTACAGTTGGTTAAAACTGATAAAGATTTAAACAAATGCACTAGAAACAGTAGAATCTAAACATTTGAGCTTTTCATCGGAAATTAAACGAGGAAATCACTTATTGTAATGTCCACCTTTGAATTTTCCCAAAAATTATATTCCGATAACCAGCAACATTTTAAATAAATTTGATCTTTAAACTTACTTTCCTTAGTTGTGTTCAGTTCATTATTGTTCCCTACTTTAAAAGAATGGTGAGCTATGAAAAGTAGATTTATTAAAATGTAGTGTGCTTTTCATTTCTTGCTCCACAGAAACAGAATTAACATCTTGTGTCTCATGACTTTTCCCATTCTAGGGTAGGCCCTGTCCCACCTTCAAGACAGACACATCAGAGATGGTAACACAGTGGTATACAGTTGGGAAGGAGTCACCCTTGGGGTCCTCAACATTGGCACTGTACCCCATGAAGTTTCATGGCATCATGTCAAACATGGACACAGAAACCAGCCGCTGAATACCACCAATAATCCGATCTCAACCAATAAATCAGTACTCTTCCATGTTGAACACTGTTTGGAAACAGCATTGAGGGTGCTAAGGGCACAGAATGTACTCTGGGTTGGGGACCTTCAAAGTCTATCACAGACTGGCTCTATAGCACTACTACTGGCCAAGTTGATTGAGTGCTGAATGACATAGTTGCTAGACCAGGTCTGCAGAAGGTGAGGAGGGAGCCAATAAAAAGGGAACATGTATTTGACCTCATCCTCACTAATCTACCCATCACTGATGAATGCATCTGGACAGCATCAGTAGGAATAAGTACCCTACAATGCTTGAGGAGATCAAAGTCCATCTTCACATTGAAGATACCATCTATCAGGTTGGCTAGCACTACCTCTTTGTCAAAAGGGGCAGACATTGAACAGTTTTAGCATCAAAACTCGGTATCCATGAAGTTTTGTGGGGCACCAGCAACAGAACTGTATGCAACCAAAATTTGTAATCTCATGACCTGGCATGTACCCTACTTTACCACTGTAAACAGACCAAGGGATCAACCCCTGGTTCAATGAAGAGTGCAGAGTGGCATGCCAAAAGTAGCACCTAAAAATGAGGTATCAACCTGGTGAAACTACAGCACAGGACTAGTTGAACGTGAAACAGCAGAAACAACCTGCAATTGACAGAGCTAAGCAATCCACTACCAATGGATCAGATCTAAGTGCTGCAATCCTGCCACATCCTGTCATGAATGGTGGGCCAATTAAACAATTGACAGGCTTCACAAATATGCCCAATCTCAACAGTGGGGGAGCCCTGCACTTCAGCACAAAAGACAAGGCTAAAGCATTTGCAATGCTCTTTAGTCAAAAGTGCCAGCTTCCTCCTGATGTCCCCAGCATCACAGATGCCTGTATTCAACCAATTAATTCACTCCATGTTATACTACAAAGGTTATGGGCCCTGACAAGATTCCAGCAGTAATACGGAAAGTTCATGCTCTGTAACTAGTCACATCCTTAGCCAAGCTGTTGTGGTACAGCTACTACACTGGCATCTATCCTACAATCTAGAAAATGTCTAGGTTTGTCCTGTGCAGAGAAAGCAGGATAAATCCATCTTGGGGGTCAATTTCCATCCTAACTCCTGATCATAAGCAAAGTGATGGAAGAGGTCATGAACACTGCCATTAAGTAATACTTGCAAAGAAATAACCTGCTCACACACTCAGTTTGGGCTTTGCCAGAGCTACTCAATATCTGACCTCAACCTTGGTTCAAATCTTGACAAAATAGCTGACCTCCAAAAGTGAGGTAAGAATCGTTGGCACAAAAACAAAAATTGCTGGAAAAACTCAGCAGGTCTGGCAGCATCTGTGGAGGGAAATTAGAGTTCACGTTTCGGGTAGAATGACCCTTCCTCAGAACTGTATCTGTTGAGCTTTTCCAGCAATTTCTGCTTTTGTTTCTGATTTACAGCATCCTCAGTTATTTTGGATTTTATTAGGAATCACAGAACTTGATGGCAAAGTACCTTCGAATTGTGTACGGCATCAAGTATTTCCTAGCAAAACCTAAGCCAATGAAATTAAGGGAAAACCTGTCCACTGGTTGGAGTATTAACTAGATTAAAAGGAAGATGTTTGTTGGATGTCAATTGTCTCCATATAAGGATATTTCTGCAGGTCTTCCTCAGTATAGTAACCTTGGCATTTTTACCTGCTTCATCAATGTCTTCTCCTCCATCATAGGTGGGGATGTTCGCTGATGACTGCACATTTCCCGACTCCACAGGTATGGAAGCAGTCTGTGCCTGTATGCAGCAGGACCTGGGCAACATCCAGGCTCAGGCTGCTAAGTGAAAATTGACATCCACACCACAAACGTGCAAGGCAATAACTATCTCCAACAAGAGAGAACCTCTGCATCACCCTTTGACATTCAATGGTATTACAGTTGCTGAATCTCCCACAGTCAACTTCCTGAGGATTAACCAAGATATTAGCCAGAAACTGAACTACAGCAGCTACATAAACACTGTGGCTACAAGAGCTGTCAGAAGCTAGGAATCCTTCTGTGAGTACCTCACCTCCTGTCTCCCCAATGCCTGTTCACTATCTACAAGGCACAAGTCAGGATTATGATGGAATACTATCCATTTATTTTGCTAAGTGCAGCTTCAACAATATTCAAATGGTTTGACAATGTCCAGAACAAAGAAGCCGCTTCATTGGCACCCCATTCACCACTTTCAACGTTCACTCTCTTCCCCATCAATGCACAGCAGCAGTAATGTGTACCATCTACATGATACACAGGAGTAACTCAGCAAGTTTCTTTCGACAGCATCTTCCAAATCTACAACCTAGAAAGGCAAGGGCAACAGATACAAAAACAAAGTTGCTGGAAAAGCCCAGCCGGTCTGGCAGCATCTGTGAAGAAAAAAACAGAGTTAACATTTCGGGTCCGATGGCCCTTCCTCAGAACTTCCTCAGGGCAACAGATACATGGGAATACCACGATCTGTAAGTTCGCCTCCAAGTCGCACACCATCCTGATTTGGAACTATATCACGATTCCTTCACCGTCACTAGGTCAAAATCTCAGATCTCCCTACAGCATTGTGGATGCTTTTACACCTTAAGGACTGCAGTGTTTTAAAAAGGTAGATCACTACTACCTTCTCCCTAGAGCAATTAAGGATGGGCAATAAATGTTGGCCTAGCCCAAGATGATCACATCATGTGAATGAATAAAATAAACTTATGTCCTCTACAAGACATGTATCCTTGTGTTATTTGCAAATTTAATACTTTCACTCCTTTCATCTTAGTCTTTGATGTAAATTGTAAAAAGCTAAGGCCCCTGCACAGATTCCTGCAGGATGTCACTGATCACACGCTGTCAATCAGGAAAACATACATCTACAGATACTCTTGCTTTTTGCCAGCCAGACAACCTTCTATGTTGATTTATTATCCCCCACACTATAAGCTTCTACTTTCTGCAATAGCCTTTTCTGTGGTACCTTGTTGAAAGACTTTTGGAAGCCTAACTACAGTACATCTACACACTCTGCTTTATTCACAGTACACATTACTCCTTCAAACAATTCTAAATAATTAGTTGAACATGACTTTTCTTTGACAAAACAATGCTGTCTCTTCCCAATTACCTTGGGTTTTTTTTTAAGTTCCCACCAGAACCCCCCTCATAATTGACTCTAACACATTCCTATGTAAGCGCCAAGCTAACTGGTCTATAGCTTCCTGTCTTCTGCTTTCCTCCATTCTTGTTATTTTTGCTACTCTCCACTCCAATGGAACTTTTCCAGGATCTAACAAATAGTAACCTCTTTTAAGACCGCAGGATGAAGTCCTTTAAGATCCAAAGACTTCTTGGCTACCATCTCCATCAGTTTGCTCAGTATCACTTCTCTAGCAATTATAATTTCACCAAGTTCATCTCTTCCTTCCATTTTTGATTAACATGTATTACATGTTTTTGTATTTGCTATAGGAGGAGTAGAAGCAAAATATTGTTAATTCCATCCACCATTTCTTATTATCTACTATTAACTCTACATTCTCACTCTCTAGAGCACCAGCACTCACTTTATATAATCCCTTCCTTTCTAAATTATCTGCGGAAACTCTTGCTATCCATTCTTGCATTCCTAGCTAGCTTACTTCTGTCCAATCATCTGTCTTGCATTCATCTGACCTAATCATCTTTTGTGCATCAGTATATGTATTTTCTCAAGTGTACTGATTCCTTTAAATCCATTAGTTAAACATAGTTGATGAACTGTCTTGCTAATAAGAATACATTCTATATTTTAGTATTCTGAAATATCCTCTTAAATGACTGCCACTGCCTCTATTGATCTATCCACTAGCCCAGTACCTCAGTTCACTTCAGTTAGCTTAGCTGTTATGCCTACATGGTTGGCCTTATTTAAATTTCAGATACTGGTTTTAGACACACACTTGCCCCTTTCAAAATGAATGCAAAATGGAATCATATTTTGGTCACTGCTCCTTAGGGGTATCTTGATTGAGGATTCGAATCGCACCAAGGCAGATGGTGAATTTAAGTTCAATAACAAATTTGGAAAGAGAAAAACTAGCCTCATGGTGACCATGATTATTGTAATGATTTGCCGATTGTTGTAAAAATTCATCTGATTCACTAATGTTCTTTGGGGAAGGAAATCTGCTGTCCTACATGTGCCTCCAGAGGCAATGGGGTTGACTCTTAACTACCCACTGGGCGATGAATGCTGGCCTAGCCAGTGATGCTTACATTTCATGAATACATTTTTAAAAATAACCTCATCCTGGTTAGTTCCAGAATGTAGTGCTTGAAGAAACAATATCAAAAGCATTTCATGAATTCCTCATCCAGGCTTCCACTGTCAATGCGATTTTTCTGAGTTTATATGTATATTAAAATGACTTATCATTATTCCCATTTCATTATAACAAGCACCCAATATTTCTTTTTGTAACTTCTTCTTGGCATTGTAGTTACTGCCAGGGAGCCTGTAAACCATCCCTATTAGTGAATTCTTTCCCTTACTATTCCTCATTTCCCCCCAAACTAATTCTACTCCCTGGTCTCCTGAGCTAAGGTCATCTCCAACTATTGCACCAATGCCATTCTTCAATAACACTTCTACCTCGCCACTTTATCCAGCTTCCTACTTTTTTTTGAATGTCAAATACCCTTCAATACTTAGGGCTCAATTTTTGTCATGAAGACATAGCTCCACGATGGTTATCAGAGAATATTTACTTACTTCAGTGTGTGCTATCAATTCATTTACTTTGTCATAAATGCTACACCCAGTCAGAATGCTTTTAGTTCTGTTGTTTTGTTAAATTCATTATATCTAGTTTTGTTGGCGTATCATTAAGTTTATTCTCTCTAAGGGTACAGCAATAGCAGTTAGGAAATAGAAAATGGGTCTTATGCAGAAAGTTTTTTTGAAGAAAGTATACTGGGCATTATGATTCTGAGCTTAGGATAATTCGAATAGAAATGTCATCTGGTGCAAAACTGATTTCCATTTTGGGGTTTGAGCCAAATTAAAATAGCGTAAACTAACCATGTTGTTATCCAATCCTTTGCTTAATGTATAAACATGTCATACTATTGCTATTCAAAGGTTGTTTTTAAAATCTATTTTCAGCACTGGAAGCCATTGCTTTGAATTGATAGTTTTTCTGATGCTCTGTGAGTTTTTCACACTTAGTTACATGTTGTTTCTATATTGTTGTATATTAGATGAAGTAATCTCCTTAAAATATAAACCACATTTGACTGTGTTGATTTTGTATTTGGCAATACAAAATAAGTTAGAAATAATTAACAGTCAAAATTTGAATTCAATATGAAATTTTTAAATCATTTGTATTGTTTAGCCAGCATATGGTGTAAACAGAATACATGAAAGGCTGCAGGATGCCTTTTATATTCCACTCAGCACTGAGAACTCATTTATAATTGTATTACTCAGCATATGTAAACTCTGAAATAAACCAAAATATCACAAAACTCATTTATTAGCACCTCCGTAATATTCACCTTTGCAAGTTGCAATAAAAGAGAAAAATCCATCAACTTTGAGGAACATATGCAGTGGACTATTGATCATTACAATTCTATCTAGACCCTAGATAAGCAGGGGTAACCGTGGTATTTGTAATCTTCCCAATTAGTCATTGAAGCCATTTAAGTAAATTACTTTCTAATATGTAGCTTTGAAAGTGAATCCGACCATGTACAAATAATTTATTAACAAAGACAAATGAAAAAAGCACATAGACACAACCTCTACAATCAATAAGCACTTACTCTTTTTCTCCAGTCCTTTGGAATTCCTGTGGGTAACCTAGCAACAGCTTTCAGAGCATCATACCACTGAAATCAAATAATACAAATGAATTAGTTCCACAAAACAGTTACAGCGAAATTTTATATTATAATTTATGACAGCAGTTATGTACAAATTTCCTTGTGAAGTAAAACCAAATGATTTTACAGATTTTACTTAAGTGAGGGGCAAAATATCCCCTCTGTGGAGGTGGTGAGGAAGGCAGTGAGAAGAGCAAATAATTGGCAAGTTGGAGCTGGAGAGATAGTCACTCCCCTCTAGCTAGAACTCCAATTAAGTGCAGTGGTGAACTTCTCACATGGGTGAACTTCTCAACCCAGCATCAATTAAAGATTTTAAGTGGTCAAATGATGGCCACTTAAGGGCCTTAATCTGCCACTGTCCTGCTTATCTGCCCTCCCAGCAGGTTAGACTGGGAAACCATGGCAAGCTGCCAATTGGGTTGGTCGGGCAGATGGTTCACTTCTCCTTGCCCAATTCTGGTATCAATTGATGGTAAGGGTGGGGGTGGCTGCTATCACCCCTGCCCTTGCATCTGATCTCCATTACAGTCCTCTCCCGTCCCCACATGCCGAGAGACCTAAATGGAAAGCACCTACCTGTAATTGTTTAAGACAACGAAACCTTGGCCTTCAGTGAAAATCTTCAGTTAATATCTGATTAGCCAGCTGCTCTGGCAGGGCAAGACTTCAGAATCGAGGCTCATCATTTGCCAAGAAATTCCCTTGTCAACTCTTATTGGCTGATTGGTACTTCATCCAGCAAGCTTTCTTGCTGGAGGAAGCAGGGTGTCAGTCACCATAAAATACCCACTCCCACACAGTGCATGGAGCACCAAATCTCAGCCTATGTTTGTGAAGGGAAACATTTATGCTGGTGAAGACTGTCATGTTGCCCTACAATTGTTTGTTGAAGTTGTGATTTGTCAGATGTAAATCTCGCTGGGGGTACTTCCAAACTAATGACCATGCTAGATATAATCTGGTCCTACCGAATATTCCCCTGTGCACTTTTCCATCTGAAGATAAATGGGCAGTCCAATGACTTGACTAATTTTCACCTTCCTAATTGATGGTAACTAGCAATTCCACTGCTCTCCTGGGAGTAGAGAAGCTAATTTAAAATAGACTATTCCAAGTCCCTGGATTCTTGGCTCAGTAGCTCAGGGGTGGCATTTTAACATAATAATGATTGGGTAATATTTTATTGAAGAAGGTTACTTGCAAAACTCAAGTAACATTAAAAGATAACAGCATTTCCATTCAGTTCAGATTTATTTTGTTTGTCTCAGAGCAGACAGAGAGGAGAAGCTCTTTCGATAGCCATCTGTAATTTGAAACTTGAGGAACATATAATGCCCCACAAGTTGCACAGGTTGGGCTGCACTTTATGAGGTGCTGAAGTCTCTGACTAACCCACCTGACCCCCACCCCCACCACCAGCTGCAGTGGCTTGTCAAGGTGTAGAAAGGTTGTTAATTAACTGGAGGCAGGACTTCTGCCCTTAGAGACAGAAAAGCCAAACCTCCAGAACTGCCAAGTGTTATTGAGTCAGTGGGCACTGCTTGTTGTGCACTATTGGATTGAGTTGCCATGCTGCTTAAGGGGAATATTGGTTCCCAGGTACCTGCTGTCCTTGCTCTGATATTCTCCACCATCTCAGTTCTTTGTTTTGTTTTAGTACCAACTTCCGCTCTGATTGGTCTAAAAACTGACTGCACTGTGACACTTGACAGTTTTTGAGTGACTTATGGAAACCCTTGAAACAAGCTGTACTCTTCTTCCGATGCATGATCAGATGTCATGACCATTGGATTATAATATTTCCTGAACTCTTCATTACAATTCTCCACTGGTTTACCAACTTTTCACTGAAGAAGGTTCTCCTCACCTCAGAACAAAATGATCTGCAGTGCATCCTGAGACCATGAACCCTTGTTCTGGCCAGGGGACACACATTCCTGTATCCACTCTGTCTAGTTCTGTCAGAATTTTATACATTTCAGTGAAATCTCCTCTCATTTTTCTAAACTTCAGTGAATACAGGTCCAGTCAACCCAATTCTTATCATATAACAAACCTTTTATCTCAGGAATCAGTCTGGTGAACTTTCACTGCAATCCCTCTATGGCAGTTATATCTTTTCTCAGGGAAGGAAACCAAAACTACACGTAATACTCTGGGTGTAGTCTCATCAAGGCCCTGTACAACTACCGTAAGACTTTCTTGCTCCTGTATACAAACTTGCTTATAATGAATAAAAACCGAAAGAACTGTGGATGCCATAAATCAGGAACAAAAACAAACATTTTTGTTTGTCAAAAACTGATGTTTTCCCAGCCACCATCAGTTCTGAGGAAGGGTCACTGGACCCAAAACGTTAACTCTGCTTTTTCCTTGACAGATGCTGCCAGACCTGCTGAGCTTCTTCAGCAACTTTGTTTTTGTTCCTCTTATAATGAAGTCCAACATACCATTTGCCTTCCTAATTGCATGCTTTCTTTCAGTGACCAGTATGGAAAAACATCCAGGTCCCTTTGTATAGCAACCTTTTGAAATCTATCATCATTTAAATAATACTCTATCATTCTGTTTCACCTAGTGAAAAAGACAACATCATATTATACATTTTACTACACTTGCCAGCTATTTCCGCACTCAACTTGTTTAAATTGTCCTGAAGCCTCTTTACATCCTCTTCATCACTTACATTACCACCTAACCTAGCCTTGCTTCATCAGCAAACATGGAAATATTACACTCAATTCCTGCATCTAAATCATTGTGAATAGCTGGGCCCAAGCACTGATACTTATGGAACCTTACTTATCACCACCTTCCATCAATAATCCATTTATTCCTACTCTTGGTTTTCTGTCTGCTAACTAATTCTCAATCCATACCAGTATATTTCTCCAGCATCGGCAGTTCCTACTATCCCAATATATTATAACACACTTTGAATTTGCACAATAACCTCTCATGCAGGACTTTATCAAAAGTTTTCTGAAAATCCAAATATACCACATCCACTGGTTCCTCCTTATCTATTCTACAAACTAAGCCCTTAAAAATCTCTGGCAGATTTGAAAACATTGTGCTTCAACTGCTTCCGATCAGGTGTAAAAACTGACTGTCCATTGACCCTTGAACTGTTTTAAGTGACCTATGGAAAACCTCACAACAGGCACGATCACCCCCCAACACACACACACACACACACAAAACAAAAACAACAACAACTTGTCCATCTAACCTCATGGTTCTGCAGGTTTGACAGCATGAATTGTTTCACAATCTGAGCAACTAATCAATGGAGCTGAACACTTCTAACATTTTGATTGTGGAATTGAAGATTCCCTGAAGCCCTACTGAAATGAAGTCCTGGAATTGAGCTGATTATCGCTCTCTCACAACCATAACAATTTTCCTTTGCACCAGGTACCACAATTAATGCCTCCAAAAAGTGTCAAATTTGAAAGGTGCCCAATGGCTTACCTGCTGGAAGCCATGCTTGTTCATGGATGGTTGGATGGTAAATTTCAGCTTTGTATCAACTCCTAAGTGGGGACAAAAGATAATATTAGTGTATATACAAGAGATTAAATTTTCAAACATCTAAAGCTCGGGCAGTTCTTGCATCGGGACAAATGAGTTACATTTGTTCCAGAGAAACGAATTAGCTGAATTATGGGACCGTTCGCCCTGAAGCCATGATGCATTAACACATACCAACAACTGCATGCTTTATCAGTGAACGTCAAATGATAGTATTTATTCGGGATTCTCGCAATGCAGCACGCCAGCTGATAGAGTAACAAAAGATAAGGTGTGTAACAAGAGCTATCTCGATACGGGGGGGATTGTCTTCAGCGCGTCTGTGCCTTTTAATTGAGAGCTCGGGATCCGGGAGGTACCATTACTCTAACGCCAATGCTCTATTTGCGCTGTTCACAAACCACCGGTGCTGAAGGTTGTGGAGAGGAGCGGCGCTGTTTCAGCAAGACTTTGCAATAAAAACAGCTCCTCGCCATTACGGCAGGCCAGAAGAGGTTGAGTTTTGTTTGCACAGAGTTCCTCGGTCCCTTGCTGATATTAGAAGCCGGGGAGTTCTTGCTGCTTTCGCTTCTATTTTATTCCAGGCGTTGCTAATGATGTGCAACCTCTCTCCACCCCACCCCCGGCTAAAGCACTGACAATCCCAGACCCTCAGCATCCGGGACTGCTTTCACCGCCCTCTCTCCTAAATACCTGCTTCCATCTCACCTCTTTCCCTCCTGTTCCATTCCCCCAGTTTGTCTCTGAGCCTCTCCTAATCGGCTTAAACACACACACACACACACACACAGTTATTGTCAAGGCACTAACATATAGCCAGCCACTGCATCGTCCTATCCTGCCAATTTGGCGTGTGGAAATACAAGCCAGTTACATCCACGACGCCCCAAATCTATTCATTCCCGCTGGCGAAGCCCGAAACGTCAGCCTTCCTGCTCGGCCTGCTGTGTTCATCCAGCTCTACACCTTGTTATCTCAAATCCACACCTTTTTTGTTTGAGGAGAAAGAGGAGACGCTTGCAGGCCAGGCACAGTTTCGACATGGCACAGCTAACCGTGCATGTTCGACTGCATCACATATTGGACAATAGGTCACACACAGAGTAGGTCGGTCAGAGATTTTGTATTTTATTTTTTAAATTCAAAACGGGCTTCACCTGGTTCGAGTGTGCACAGCAGCCGCGGTGCTGTCCTGGAAATACAGCTCCTCTTCTTCAGAACATTGCTAATGATGTTGGTCATACCCGCTGCCGTGTTCTGCTTTTTCAGACACTTGCTAACGCGTTTGCCTGAAGACAGGGAGTGTTTACCCTTTTTCATCCCGGATCCACAACGTCGAAACCTTATTCCTTTAGAAACGGCTTTTCGTTTTGTGCAGCTTGTTCAGGTAGACTCCTGAATCCCATTCAGCGGTCATATCGAGGGGATTTTTTTTTGTTTAAGTTGTTGCGCTTTCAAATGGCCTGACCATCGACGCAGAAATCAGCACCAGCGCGGTGTGAGCTGATCTGGATGAAGATTGTTCTGATTTGGCCCCCGGAAGGTGGCCCTTGCTCAGAGATAGCTGCAGTGTTGCAGCACCAGCTGGATCCTCTAACTGCAGTCAGCGTGACCGCCCACCTACACACAGCATTGGAGACAGAAAACCAAACCTGCAACTTCCTAGCTGCTGGCGGCCCTCTGAACAAAATAAACGGACAGGAAACAAAATCGACTCCTCTTTCGGTAACAGATTGTCTCTGCAAATGGCAGGGACGATCCGAAAGTGGTCTGAAAGTTGCCTTCTGGTGCCGGCATCATCACACAATCTGATCACCATTAAAACACACCAGACAATATCCCTTATAAAATCGTAAAGGAAGGCAACAGGTCACTTTTCAGGAAAATTCAACCCATTCCACCCCGCCCCCGTATAACACGACCTGTCTTTCAATAACACAAACAGAAGGTGCTCGAGAAACTCAACAGAGAGAGAAAAGAAGTTAACATTTCAAAATGTTCACTCTCTTTCTCCCTCCACAGATGCAGCCAGATTTGCTGGGTTTCTCCAGCACTTTGTGTTTTTGTTTCAGATCTCCAGTATCTGCAATTGTTTGTTTTATTTGAATGATCTTCAATAAATCTGGGGAAATCAGTCACATGTCTACTTGGCAGGAAACTGCACATAAGACAGCCTTAAAAAAAAGCACATGCATTTCACAATCATTGGTTTTGTGCTTTTTATACTTATTTTTAGAATTTTTCAGCTGCAGCTTGACACCTCTTTGAGTTATCAACTGTTTTACTATTTATATTTGCTTTGAGTGGACCAAATAGATTGGCTCAGAAGATCCCTATTTTCCAATCTGTTAAATGTAATGGGTGGACTGCGTAGGGTTGGCAAACAAGTCAGGCAGCCTGAGAGACATTTTAATTTCCTGCTGGCAACCATATTCCCACATCGGTAGGGAAACCTGCCTTTGATAAATGTTGTGCTAGTGGAGAAGATGGTCCTGGTACTGTCAATGTATACTGCAGAAACATGAGAGGAACAGGAACCAGCAGTCCCTGAATGATGACCGAGATGAGTTGAAAGATGAAGCACAAAATGGTGGCATATGATAGGGTTGTTAGTACAAGTGACAGGATGAACAAGAAAGTTCAAAGAAGGATTATGAGGGGAAATTGGAGAAGCAAAGCCAAAGTCTGAGCTAATAATGGAAAGTAGCATAAAGGAAATCTAAAAGTCTCCAATTGGTATGGAGAGGAAGGGAGAAGTTGATTGAGGATTAAAAAGGATCCCTGGAGTGTCGGAAGCTGAGGGGTGACCTCATAGAAGTTTACAAAATCATGAAGGGCATGGATAGGGTGAATAGACAAGGTCTTTCCCCTGGGCTTGGGGAGTCCAAAACTATAGGGCATAGGTTTAAGCAGGGAGGGGAAAGATTTAAAAGGGACCTAAGGGGCTCCTTTTTCACGCAGAGGGTGGTGCGTGTACAGATTGAGCTGCCAGAGGAAGTGGTGGAGGCTAGTACAGTTACAACATTTAAAAGGCATCTGGATGGATATATGAACAGGAAAGGTTTAGGGGGATATGGGCCAAATGCTGGCAAATGGAACTAGATTTATCGAGGATATCTTGTCAGCGTGGACGAGTTGGACCTAAGGGAAGGTAGAAATTGCAGAGATACTGGCCATAATCCTCCCCAGGGAACTGGCGATTTGCAAATGCTAAACTGTTATAAGGAAAAAAACCTAAATGTTAGTCAATTTCATCTTGATGGAAGGAAAACTTGTGAAAATTGTGTTCCAGAATACAAATAACAGTCACTTAAAAAGCATGATTAATTAGGGAATTTCAGCATGGATTTCTTACTGAGGTTTCTGATGAAGCAATAAAGAGGGTTGATGAGGGTAGTGTAGTTGAAGTGATGTGTGTCAATTTCCAAAGGCATTTGATAAAGTGCAACATGACAGGTTTGTCAGCAGAACGGAAGCCCATGAGGTAAAAGCGGCAACGGTGGCATGAATGCAAAGTTGACTGAACAAGAGGAAACAGAGTGCATATTTATTTTTCAGACTGGACGGAGGTAAACAGTGGAATTTAGAGATAGCAAGAACTGCAGGTCCTGGAGTCAGAGTCAACACAGTGTAGGGCTGGAGGAACACAGCAGGTCAGGCAGCATCAGAGGAACAGGCAAGTTGAGGTTCTGGCTCAGGACCCTTCATCACAGCTGGGAAGGGGGAAGGCAGCTGGGAAATAAATAGAGCGAGGAGGGTTGGGGCAGTGGGAAGGTAGGTGAGATGGTGATAGGTGGATGCAGGCAGGGGGTAGTGGAGATTGGTCAGTGGGAAACAGTGGGGCAGCTAGGTGAGGAGGAAGATGGACAGGTAGTGTCAGGTCAAGGAGGTGAGGGGGGATGGGTGGGCCTGAGGAAAGGTAAGTGGGATGGCGATAGGTGGTTGCAGGTAGGGGGTAGTGGGGGTTGGTCAGTGGGATGGGTGGCACAGATAGGTGGAGAAGAAGGTGGACAAGTTGTGTCAGGTCAAGGAGGCGGGGATGAGAGGGAGGGTTGGACATGGGATGAGGCCGGGGCGGTGGGGAGATTTTACAACTGGTGAATTCTATGTTTAGGCCATTGGGCTGTAGGCTCCCAAGGTGGAATATGAGATGTTGCTCCTCCAGTTTGTGTATGGCATCATTGTGGCACTGGAGGAGGCCCAGGATGGACATGTCACCAAGGGAGGGGGAGGGGGATTTAAAATGGTTAGCAACCAGAAGGTGTTGGTGATTATAGCGTACAGAGCACAGATGCTCCACAAATCGGTCCCTAAGTCTGCGCTTGGTCTCACCGATGTAGAGGAGGCTACATCGGGAGCAATGGATACAGTAGACCAGATTGGAGGATATACAGGTGAACCCCTGTCGAATGTGGGAAGTTTGTTTTGGGCCTTGGATGGAGGTGAGGGGTGAGGTGTAGGGGCCGGTGTAGTACTTCCTGCGGTTGCAGGGAAAGGTGCTAGGTGTGTGGGGAGTGTGGAGCAGATGAGGGAGTCGCGGCGTGAGTGGTCCCTACGAAAGGCAGATAGGGGTGGGGAGGGAAATATATCTTTGGTGGTGGGGTCGGATTGTAAGTGGCAGAAGTGGCAGAAAATGATGCGCTGGATGCGGAGATTGGTGGGGTGATATGTGAGGACCAGGGGGATTCTGTCTTTATTTTTGTTGGGGGCGGGGCTTTGAGGGCAAAAGTGTGGGAAATGCAAGAAATGTGGTTGAGGACATTTTTGATCACCTGAGGGGGGAGGTTGCGGTCCTTGAAATAGGATGACATCTGGGATGTCAGGGAGTGGAACACTCCAAGTTGGGAACAGATGCAGCGGAGGCAGAGGAATTGGGGGTAAGGGATCGCATTCTCGCAGGAAGGTGGGTGAGAGGAGATGTAGTTTAGGTAGCTATGGGAGTCAGTGGGTTTGAAATTGGTGTCAGTGCTGAGACGGTTACCAGAGATGGAGACAGAGAGAT